TAATATTTTAACAAGAAGCATGAGTGCTGGTGGCAACAAAAATCCGAGTCGAAGACGAGGATTTTTGCACCTGCACGAATGCATTTTTTTTTTAAATATTACTTAGCATTGTGTTTTTTCGATTTTTTTCACAGGAAAAATTAAATGCCCGAATGGTATTTGACAAGACTATTTCATGAGTAACAGTTAACAATTAAAATATAAATTGCAATTTTTGGTGACAACAGCTGTCAAGTTTTGCCGCGGGTAAACTCGAAAAAACTGCTGACAGGTGCTGTCATACAGTTTTTTCACCTAGAAACCATTTGTAATTCAAAATTGCGCGTTTGTGATTGGTGGAAATTAAGACGAGGGAAATAGTCGTATATAATACCACAAGTGGTATTCGGCAAGACTATTTCACGAATATTTTTAACTGCCGATTCAATTTTGTATGATTTTTTTGACCAAAACGCATATTTTTTAAAAATTTTATTTTAAAATTAGAAACGTCAACGTATAAACGAGTGGTTTTTTCGTAAGTTATATCATAAGGGCATTTAATTTTTCCGAAGAAAATCGAAAAAACACGTTCTTAAGTAATATTTTAACAAGAAGCATAAGTGCTGGGTGCACCTGCACGAATGCATTTTGTTAAAAAATATTACTTAGCATTGTGTATTTTCGATTTTTTTTACAGGAAAAATTAGATGCCCGAATGGTATTTGACAAGACTATTTCATGAGTAACAGTTATTCTGCATACACATAGCTTACAAAATACACTACCTATTATACATGCATACATAATAAATATGTAGGTATTAATTTGAAAACTGAATAATAGGTAATTTATTTAATCACAAAATACTACAAACTTAATTTTTTATGGTACAATTAAAATATAAATTGCAAGTTTTGTTGACAACAGCTGTCAAGTTTTGCCGCGTGTAAACTCGAAAAAACTGCTGACAGGTGCTGTCATACAGTTTTTCCACCTAGAAACCATTTGTAATTTAAAATTGCGCATTTGTGATTGGTGGAAATTAAGACGAGGGAAATAGTCAGCAAAATCACCTTGGAAGCAAATGTTTTAAGAATCTATTGCTGATAATATTTTGTCAATTAAATCAGAAAATGGTAAATTAAAGGTAAAGTAAATTACAAAATATTTATACACATATTTTTGAAAATTATCATTTACTCTTATATATTTTAAAAGAGTTTGAACATCTGTACTAGGTTTTTTTCAACAGTTTTTCACACTTTTCATTCAGGAATTGTCCAACAGAGCATATTTTTAAACATGTAAACATGCATTTTAAACCATGTAGATGTAAATATTTTTTAAATGTAAAAAATACAGATTGACTTTTATATCAAAGCCTTCTTAAACAAAAATTATATATAAATTTAGTGCCATTTTCTATAAAATTTGTCGCATTTCAAACCGTTGTATCTTCTTAGCAAGGCAAATACACAATATTTTTTTACAATTTTTAGTATACAGGGTGTTATGTAATTAATGTTATATATTAAAATACTGAATACCTTTTGACATAAGGAGTAAAGGAAAAATATTTAAAAAAATATTTATCCAAAGATAAAGAAAAAATATGCATTAGAAATTTTTTTGATTTTTTTGTGACACGCCACTGGTTTATCTCTGCACACTTGTGTTCTGTGAGGACATAGATACCAACCAACAAAGTAGCTGCGCGTTGCCAGATGTAAAAAATTGTTACTAAAAATTTTTCCTGCAAAAAATAAATAAAAACTCAATAAATAAAAAAGTTTTATGCCCTTAAAGCTCTAATACCCTTCTGTATTTATTTACTCATCCAGCTATTAGCTTAAGCAATGATTAGAAAATTTAATACCTATTTTAAAAAATCCATAACCACAAAATTAATTTTTTCATCAGTTTCTTTCTTTCTGTTTACTCAGATGAAATTAACAGGTTAAACTTTAAACATTTAATTTGTGTAAATAAATCCAAAAGCACTTCCCTTAGTTAAGATTTACAATTTGAGCACATAACCCAAAATTTGAAAGAAATGCACTAGATTCTGTCATAAAAGTTGGCAAATTTTGTTTGAATTTAGGTAGTGTCTCCCCGACCGTCGGACGGACGTAGAAAAGTGTGTGCTCGACCGTCGGACGGACGTAGAAATGTGTGTGCTCGACCGTCGGACGGACGTACAAACGTGTAAAAATGACTAGAGGCTAAATGTAGCAAAGTATTCCTCAAGGTTATGACGAATAGCTGTCATCTTGGTTATGCAGGTACACTGCATTGTGCCATACCAAACCACCCCAAACTTAACAACCCAACCCAACCGACCCCACCCCATTGGGCCCCTCCCGCCCCATTGAGCAATAGAGGTATAATATATCTAAGGGCAGGCTGGATTGTGACAATGGGGCGGGAGGGGCCCAATGGGGCGGGGTCGGTTGGGTTGGGTTGTTAAGTTTGGGTTAGTTTGGTATGGCACAATGCAGTGTACCTGCATAACCAAAATGACAGCTATTCGTCATAACCTTGAGGAATACTTTGCTACATTTAGCCTCTAGTTGAAAATGAGGTTAAAATATGCGACGGTTGAGCACACACATTTCTACGTCCGTCCGCCGGTCGAGCACACACTTTTCTACGTCCGTCCGACGGTCGGGGAGACACTACCTTGAATTTACCTTCAGTACAAAAATGACATAACCAACAATTAATAACAACGCCAAATTGACAATTTGCATTGTTAATTTTGTCATTTTTGTAATTAATCTAAATTTAAACAATGTTTGTCAACTTTTTTGACAGATTTTGGAAACACCACGGTCTTATATACAGGTCTTGCAACTTCGCCCAATTTCAATAGGAAAAGTGACCTCTCTAATGAGACACCCACCAGATGGCGCATCGAGTTGAGGGTGAACCATAGATGTTTAAAGGTCGTTTTTACCTTCTTTATCTTTGGGTTTTACAATCGTTCGATAAGCTCTCTGGTGGATAATTTTCTTAGATAGAAGGTTTCTATGAAAGTTATCCGCCAAATAAGCTAACTTAATCTAACGATTGTAAAACCGGCTCTAAGTCCTTAAAGTCTATGGGATAAAGGTCAAATGAACTACCTACTTATGTTCTGTGAAGAAACATAACCTACATTTTTATAAACAAGCTTGTGTATTTTGTTACAGGGAGTTTTTACTTATTGTTATTGTGATATTCGTTATTGTTATATTATATTGTTCTATTTTTTCTTGTTATATTTGTTCTTGTTATACATTTGTATTTGTGCTTTTTAATAGACATGAAGTCCTGTGTTGTGCCAAAATGTAACCAGCAAAGCTATCGTTCCGGCATTAAAATTAAGCGGTCCATGTTTAAAGTGCTAACAAATAAGGAGCGGTTAAAAACATGGCAATGTGCAATAAAAAACATATTATTTTTTTATACTACCTTAAATATTTTAAATGTGTTGTATTTATTGTTTTTATATTCACTCTGTTGCCATTTTGTGATATTTTATTTTTATTTTATTGTATTACTCTAATTTTTTTATTCACATGTAATTTGACTAGTCATGTAATTTTGATGACAATAAACTATTTCTATTTCTATTGACACCTTCACATTTTGTATGATTATTATATAATTAAGCACATCGTGTTGGTGAAATATATATTATTTTAAATAAACAATCAACCCATCCCCGCCAAGACAATAAAAAAATCGGTTATTAATAAATTAGCCAGAATATTGGTTGGTTAGTTTGTTGTGTTACTAGAAATTTTGGTTTTCATATTAGCCAAATTGAATTGGATAGTTTACAAATTATCCAGCTATTCCTAAATAATTTCAAGTAAATTAGCCAAGACCCTTGGTTGGTTTACAAACTAGCCGCTAATTTAGTTAAAAATACGTTTTCAATTAAAATAGCTGACAGTTTGGCTAGTTTATAAACTACCCAGCTACTTAATAAACTATCCATGTTTACACATTAGCCGTAACATAATATGTATATATATTATATATGATATCTGATATACGTATGTATTTTATACATTAACATGTTTGGTCTGGGCATGTGACGGCCGAGGACTTTGTGCATAGAGTATAGACTTTGTTGTCCTATTTTGTTAACGTAAATTATCCGAAACAAACTAAATATTAAATTTTTGAAAATGTAAACAAAACATAGAACTAGAATTTAAAAAGTTAGGTTATGGTTATGCAGTAGTTCCACATTTAACTAAGTAGTAGTTTAATTGACTTTACCCCTTCGATCTTAGCGCCACCTAGCGGCTTGGCACGTTAAGGAAGCCACCTCGAAGCTTAAAGTTTCAAGACCTGTATATAAGACCGTGGGAAACACTGTTGTAACAACAGTGTTGTTACCAACCATAACATAATAAAGTTCCTAGTCGATCAGTGGCGTACTTTTTGGTAGGATAAATATATAACATTAATTACATAACACCCTGTATATTGAGGAGAACATTCTGTTAAATTTTGAACAATTTTCGTTCGGGCCCTCTGGACGAAAAAATGCAGTTTTTTTCGCCAAAAATGGGAAATTTTTATAATAAAAATGGTATTTCCTGCAATTTGGGTACTTTTTTATAATTTTGCATTTTATATTTTAATCGATATTTATAAGTACACACCAAATCAAATTTTCATAGCCTACTACACAATATCAATGGTAGAAAATTGTCATTTTCAGTTAAAAGAAGCGTAAATTTAGCACTAAAAAAACTACACTTGTAAAAACATTTGTATAATTTTAGGTATATATATAAAAAGAACATCGTTTTATGGTTAAAAGAAAATATTACGCGATAAAAAATATTAATAAACATAAAGTTACAAAAGGATTTCTTAGAAACCGATTTGGTAATATTTTATGCAAACCGGTCGGTCAACATGGCCTCACCTAATTTCTCAGGGTGTTTAAATAAAAAAATATTAATATGATTTTACTTCATCCCAAGCATTGATCTTAAAATTCAAAAACTTTTAGTAAAATCCGAGATGTCGAGCTTTTGTCATAAGGGGCCGTTCATTAATTACGTGAGACAATTTTGGCGATTTTTCTTAAGAATGTCAAAAACACAATTTAAGGGTTTCAATTTGACCCCATAAAAAGCATTAAGAATGTTGAAAAGACATTTTTAAATGTTAAAAACACATTTTTGAATGTAAAAAATAATTTAAGAAGGTTAAAAACACTATTAAAAAATGCTAGATACCCTGCCATCTTGTTTCATAGAACGTCCCTTAAAAACGTGCAAACGCAAAAACATTTTTAAAAAATCACACAACTTACGGCGTAGTTTTCGACATCGACAAAATGGCGGCGCAAATTTTTTGCGGGTTCGTTTCCTCCGGGTACATCTGCATGGCCGCAGTGACCTGCTCTTCGGGAAAAATCGCCTTCAGGTGGTAGTGAAGTTTTCTGCGGGCGTCCTCCTGGTTGGCGGCGGCGGCGCTCGGCCCCCACGGGGGCGGCCACACGTTCAGCTGCGGATCCGAGCAGCTGGAGATCCTCTGCATGTGCCTGAAAGATTTTCGTAGGAGTAAAGTCGGTTTCATACAGTTGCGAAATGCGAATTGCGAAAATGTTTTCATTGGTCCATTTGATTTGGCGACAGATCCTGCGAATTCGCAAAATTTGAAATCCAGGGGGTGAGAATCTTGAGATTGATCCAATATTTTGCGAAAATCGCATGCAAATTAATGCAGTTGCTTATCACCATTTAGGTTTATTTCGTTTGTATCATAGTGTTTGTATTGGGGAATATTTCTAATATTTGTTTATAATTAGAAATATTCCCCAATGCCAAAACAAAACACATGTACTTTTCGCCAATGATGGCATCTTCAGAAGTGAAGTGTATATTTCAGTGAATATTTCTAATATTTGTTTTTCATTTTATCTTACCATCATCTAGGCTTATCACCATTTTAGCTTTTAATTTTTAAAGCTTGTCATCATCATTTTAGCTTGTCATTATAAATTTAGGATTATTGTCATTTTAGCTTGAGGCTTGTCATCGGTTTAGTTTGTCTCCATTTTAACTTGTTTTCATTTTATTTTGATATCATTATTTTAGCATTTCCTAATTTTATCTTGTCATCATTTAGGCTTAGAACCATTTTCGTTTGTCAATTTTAAGCTTATCTTTATTTTAGTTTGTCTTCATTTTATCTTGATACTTGAAAAAGGACAACTTTGGTGATATGTGTTTTGTTTTGGAGAATATTTCTTTTATTTATTTTTAATTTTATCTTGTTTAGCTTTTAATTTTTAAAGCTCATCATCATTTTACCTTGTCATTATTTAGGATAATCACCATTTTAGCTTATTACAGCTTGTCGTCGGTTTAGTTTATCTCCATTTTAACTAGTTTTCATTTTATCTTGACATCAGTATTTTAGCGTTTTATAAATGTTTTGTTTTGGTGTTGGGGAATATTTCCAATTATTCATTTTTCATTACCATTTTAGCTTGTTATTATTTTTGCTCGTCATTTAGGCTTATCACCATTTGAGCTTGTCATTATTGAGGCTTGTAATCAATTTATCTTGCATAATTTTATGTTGTCATCATTTTCGTTTGTCAATATTTTAGCTTATCTATATTTTAGTTTGTGTTCATTTTATCTTGATACTTAAAAAAGAATATGATATGTTAAACAAATATAAGAAATATTCCCCAACACCAAAACAAAACACTTTGCTTCTGAACATGCCAACATCCTTGGCGAAAAGGACTTTAAGTACTTTGTGTTTTCTTTTGGTGTTGGGGAATATTTCTATTAGCTTTTCATAAATTATCTTGCCATAATTTTATCTTGTCATCATTTAGGCTCAGGACCATTTTACTTTGTCATTATTTAAGCTTTTTATCATCATTTTAGCTTGTCATTATTATCGCTTGTTATTATTTTAGCTTGTAATCAGTTTAGATTGTCTCCATTTTAACTTGTTTTCATTTTATCTTGTCATCATTATTTAAGCTTGTCAATATTTTAGCTTTTTATAATTTTTCTTGCCATAATTTGGCTTAGGATCATTTTCGTTTGTAAATATTTTAGCTTATCTTCATTTTATTTTGATACTTGAAAAAGGCCAGCTTTGGTGATATGATAAATAAATATTAGAAATATTCCTGAACATCAAAACAAAACACAAAGTGCTCAGTTACACTATACCTCTAAAGATGCCAACATCGTTGGTGAAAAGTACTTTAAGCACTTCATTTTCATTTTATCTTGACATCGGGGCAGGACCATTTTAGTTTGTCATTATTTTGACTTGTTATTATTTTTGCTAGTCATTTAGGCTTATCACCATTTAAGCTTGTCATTATTGAGGCTTGTCATTAGTTTATCTTGCCATAATTTTATGTTGCCATCATTTTCGTTTGTCAATATTTTAGCTTATCTTCATTTTATTTTGTCTTCATTTTATGAAAAAGAACAACTTTGGTGATATGTTAAACAAATATTAGAAATATTCCCCAACACCAAAACAAGATCGTTGGGGAAAAGTACTTTAAGCACTTTTTTTGTTTGTGTGGGAATATTTCTTATATTTGTTTAAGTGTTAAGAGTTTTTTTGTTTTTTTATAATGGACAAAGAGTTTTTTGAGGTACATTCATGTTTCTTATTTTAACTTTACTATTTAAGTACCTAAATTAGCATGGCAAATATCGCCTAGTGAGAAAACAATGTCCCTAAAATAAATGAGAATATTCGTATTTCGCAATTCGCATTTCGCATCTATATGAAACTTAAAGCGGTTTCATATGCGAAATGCGAAATACGAAAAAAATTTTCATTGGTCCATTTGATTTTTCGGGAAAAGCCTTTTGACTTTTTGACAGATCCTGCGAATTCGCAAGATTTGAAATCTAGGGGGCGGGAATCTTGAGATTGATTCAATATTTTGCGAAAATCGCACGAATTTGTCGTGATGCGTCATGCGCATAAATTAATTCTGTCTTCGTTTCAACAATACATAAGCGCAATTGCACGCCTTCGTCGCCTGTGGTATAATTGCCACTGGTATAATTGTTCATTCACAGGGCCGTAGCGACGGACTCAGGGGCCCCGGTGCAAAACTTTAGGATAGGATAGGATATCGAAAATTACGATTTTTTAGTAAAACTTTTTAGTTTTGGGGGCCCCTTTGAGGTCGGGGGCCCTGGTGCACCGCACCGCCTGCACCAGCCTCGCTACGGCCCTGTTCATTCATAATAAAAACACAAAATCTCAATTTATATAAAACAACAAATAGAAAATGTTAACCAAGTATGGCAAATATCACCTAGTGAGAAAAAAATGTCCCTAAAATAGTTCGCATCTATATGAAATGCGAATATTCGCATTTCGCATCTAAACTGCGCACCACTCAATGAGTCGCGACCAAAAAGTTCGTTCTTTTTCAAAACGATATAACTTTTTTGTTTCTTGAACTATTTTATTTTGGCCTGTGTTATCTGCTAGCCTCATCCTCTGGCAATTCATGCTATAGATATGAAGCTCACGGTTCTTCATGTAAATTTCCTACAGGGTGATATGTTAAACTGTGAAAAATTTCAATAACTTCATCCAAGCCCCGTTTGTAAAAAAAATATTTTTTCTCGTTTTTACTTTGAAATAATGAAGTATTATGTCTTATCTTAAAACATTTTTTAAATTTTTCTAATTGTAATCTTAGCAACGAAAATATGATTTTTTTCCAAAAGTGTACATTTAAGGGTTTTTGTAGGCAATACACAGTTAAGACATTTAACAGCCGGGAATTGTTTTCGAATTTTGATTCTTGGTGATTTTGGTTTTATCTGAAACTTAAATTTGACAACTGAATCACAATCAGGAGGTCAAAATTATAAAAAAAACATGTCACGAACGTAAATATCGATTCAAGATTTAGTTTTCGCAAATTTTCACCAAAATGCAACAAACTTCCATTATTTACAGAGGGGCCATTTTGAAAAAGTGGTCTTTGCTTAGGCCCCTCTGTAAATAATGGAAGTTTGTTGCTTGTCGCTTGTTCAGAATTATTCAAGGAACAATCTTTCACCATTTTATCCTCTTGTTCTTAAAAAGACTGAGTGTATTGCCTACCAAAAACCCTTAAATGTACTCTTTTGGAAAAAAAATCATATTTTCGTTGCTAAAATTTCAATTCGAAAAATTTGAAAACCTTTTCAAGGTAAGACATAATAATTCATTATTTCAAAGTAAAACGAGACAAAAAAATTCTTTTTTCAAACGGGGCTTGGATGAAGTTTTTTAAATTTTTCACCGTTTTACATATCACTATGTACGAAATTTACTTGAAGAACCGTGAGCTTCATATCTGTAGCATGAATTGCCAGAGGATGGGGCTAGCAGACATCACAGACCAAAATAAAATCGTTCAAGAAAGAGGAAAATTCGCATCTCACCTCGCGTGTTGAGGATGCGGCTGCGGCGGCCACTGCCTGTAGGAGTCCGGCGCAGAAGCGATCCTGGTCACGTGCTGGTGCACGTCCCAGTTCGCGTGCGCGGCGGTCAAATACGGCGGGCTCATTGGCTGCTGCTGAGAAACCTGAGGCGCGTACGTTCTGCGCGCCAATCGCGGATCAGAACCACCGGGGTTGAGCGTGAGTTGCCGCTGCAACTTCCGGTGCAGATTCTCCTGCGTTGCCGGCGAGTTTTGGTGGGAGAACCCGACGTTGTCGACGCTGCGGCTCTTCGAGACGAGGGCGTGGTGCGTCTCTTTGGGCGGCGGGACGTTAGAACGGGTCCTGCCTGAGTTACAGAAACAAAATTCCCGATACACGCCTCGATACTTTTTGCATTCATTTCTTTACTCACCTAGAGGAAGTTTTCTGACGTCGCCCTCTCTAGCCGAGAGATGGCGTTGCGCGTGCTCGAACAGCTTTTCAGTCACGCTTTTGTGCGGCAGCTGCCCCCTTTCCGGATGGTGATATTTGCACTTGTTGCCGTACGTGCATTTTTTGCCGTACGGGCAGGGCGGGGGCGGGTTGCCACGTTTAGGCTGAGATCGCAAAAAGTTGTCTAACGTCGGGCCCGATCTCCCCAAGGGATCGTCAGGGGGCATAAAGTGGTCGTTTACGAACGAATACATCAGGATTCTAAATTTCAGAGAAAAAAACAAACCACATTTTAGAATTTGAAATTTAAAAATTTCGTGTCAAGACTTCTTTAAAGTTGTCAAAACAAATTTACATAAAAAAATTTGAAAACACATCTTACAATGTTAAAATAATAAAAAAATTTGTGGCAAGACTCAAGACTCTTGAATAAATAATTATATAAAAATGATTAAGACTGTCAAAAACGCATTCAAAAATGTTAAAATTTCAGAAAAATTAACAAAACACATTTTTGAATTTGAAAATGTAAAAATTTCGTGTCAAGACTCAACTGATATAAATAATTATTCAAAATTGTAAAAATCACATTGTAAGAGTGTTAAGAACGAATTTGAGAATGTTAAAAAACAAAATGTAGGATGTAAAACACATTTACATAAAAATGTCAAAAGGTTTAAACAAAACCCCAAACGATTCATGCAAAAAAATCTCAAAGGGCAATTATCAGTACAAGAAGAAAACTTTCGGATTCATAAAACATTGCCCAATACTAGATTTAAAATATTAAAACGCATTTGAGAATGTTAAAAAAACAAAATATAAGATGTGAAAACACATTTACATAAAAATGTCAAAAACACATCTTAAATGTTAAATACACATCTTAAAATGTGAAAATGATAAAAAAAATGAAAATGAAAGATATAAAACACATTAAATGTGTAAATTACATAAAAATGTCAAAAGGTTTTTTAAAAAACCCCAAAAGATTCATGCAAAAAAATCTCCATGGTCAATTATCAGTACAAGAAGAAAAACTTTCGGATTCATAAAACGTTGTCCAATACTAGATTTAAAATTTTCCTTACCTTTCTTCGACAATTTTCCTGAACTCGGCATTCTCCTGGCACAAGTCCCTGTAGTTGTCATTGCTGACGACTATACCGTCTGTCTCTGCCGCCCATTTGAGTATGTACCTGTCGTCGTAGCACACTATTCGTTTGCCACCCACCAATCGGGACGGCGTGAAGGCCAAAATCTGGTCGCGCTCCAGCTCGGCCAGGATGTCCTGGTCGCGCACGGGGTTGTCGAGCCGAGGGGCCTCCTTCCGCCACTTAGGCACGAAAACTTTTATGTCCTTGTGACCGCGCGCCCTGAACCAGTCCACGCAAATCTGGATGCCCTGGCAAGAGAACACCTCTTTGTTACCATGACTGAAAGAAATATATATATACTTATATTGGCGTTTTAAAGAAACAATTTTTTCTTGAGCTCTTAAAGTTTCAGCCCTTAATCTTACTTCAAAATACTAATAAATTTAACCGTCAAATTTCGATGAAACTAATTAATTTATCAATAGTTAACTGTAAAATTTATTAAATGCTCTAAAGTATGCATTTTATTGCATTAATGCATAAAAACTATTTTTGTAGGAAATTAAATTTTCTATCAAATTATTTTTTACTTTTTATCTCTACCTTAAAGGTTTAACCGTTTTAGGACTAATTAGTTTATTAAAATTTGACAGTAAAATTTACTAAATGCTGTATATCTTTTAAAATATGCATTTTGTTGCATTAATGCATAAAACTATTTTGGTAGGAAATTAAATTTCCTATAAAAATATTATTTACTTTTTACCGTTAAAAATCCTAGGACTAATTAGTTTATCAAAATTTGACAGTAAAATTTATTAAATGCCTTATATCTTCTAAAATATACATTTTATGGTATTAATGCATAAAACTATTTTTGTAGGAAACTTAATTTCCTATAAAAATATTTTTTACCTTTTATCTCTACTTTTAACCGTTTTGACTTAAAACAACATAGGAATAGGAAATTAGTTTATCAAAATTTGACAGTAAAATTTATTAAATGCTTTATATCTTTTAATCTATACATTTCATGGTATTAATGCATAAAACAATTTGTGTAAGAAATTTCCTACAAAAATATTCTTGACTTTTTACCTTTGGGTATTTACATTGTAACGGGTGCGACACTAAATGATACTGTAAAATTTTTTATGAAAGCATATAATATTTTTTTGTGTAAAACTTGAATAGTAACCTTTAAATGCACAAAAATTGCATACTTTATTTTCTAAAATTTTCTTAATGTTGGCTTCACAATACATGTACGAATATTTTAAGCAAGGCTGGAAGGATATATATCAGAAATAAATATCCTGATATACACCTTGATAAATATCATGATATTTATGCGACGATATTTATCCTGATATACAAGGTGTCCCTAAACTTATTGGCATAAATTTAGGAAAAAAATAAGAAAGTCAAAATAAGACGAAAACCTAAATAAATTTCTAAGTCTACCACAGTAGAAGTTATATTAAAAAAACTGATATAATAACTAACACTTTATCACCCTGTATCTTCTAAACATACGTAATTAGAAAAAATATTTATTTGCCACTAAGTTTAGGGACACTTTGTATTTGAATATTTTTTTTTATAAAATTCTATTCATCAGCACCTTACCTAAGTATAAATGTAAAAAAGCTGGAAAACTAGTATTTTTGTTTAAATATTTACGCAACAGAGACCATTTAAAGAAACATGATCTTGATTGGGTTTGGCTGGAGCAACAGAAACATTTAGAAAATCCCTCTACAAATTTGTTGCATTTATGAAAATGAAGATTCAGATTCGGATCTGGATCTACCATTAGCCAGACTGATTTCATCCTAAACTTACTTGTTTCTAGCCAGCCTTTTTAACTCCTTTTATTGTTTTTTGTTTTTTATTAAAAATACTATTTTAGTTGTTGTTATCTATTAATATATTAATATATTGGATGTTGTACTTTTTCAATTTTTTTGTTTTTATAAAAAATATATAATGTGTTTAAATTCATAAACTTTTATTTTTTACCTTTCTTTTTTACATTTCTATACATACTAGTAGGTAATAAAAAAACTTGTTATTGTGATAGCAACTTTCATTGAATACAATAGAATTGAAATACAAATTTACATGTTTATAAAATTTTAAAATTAAATTAAGTAATTTTGAATTGTAAACATATATCTTTAATTCTCTAAGCACAAAATAGTTATAATAAAAAAAACAAATAAATATCCAAATTTTGATATATATCGATATATATCAGATATTTGGATATTTATATAAATATCATGATATTTGCCAGCCCTGATTTTAAGGTTATATGCAAATTACGTCGCAATTAAACTATTAGACTTCAGATATAGTTTTTATTTTGTTAAATAACACATCTGATTTTTTGTCAACCGTTTTGCCGTAAAACTAGGGTTGGGAAAATTTCACTTTTTGCTTTTACTTGAAATTTCACTTGAAATTTTCATGACATTTATGAAATTTATTAAAATTTCTTAAATTTCTAAAATTTTATGAAATTTATTGAAACTTTCAATAAATTTCAATCACTTTAAGTGTAATATATTAATATTGAAATAAGCCCATTCTGGTAGCATGGCAAATTGCCTCTCTTACCTCCTACCTCTCTGTGAGCCCCTGACCACCAATAATGTAAATAGTAAATACCTACCTATATTTACCACAAATTTCTTGAGATTTCCTTTTAAAATATTTTTTAAATTACTAAAAGAGATATATAGCACTTCTTGGTAAGCTAATGAGATTGTGCAAATTTCATTGTTTTATATTTATATATATTTATTATTTTTATATATTTTACTGAAATTTTACAAAAATTGAAGAAACTTCATCAAAACTTTATGAGTCAAAGGCATTTTTTATCCGTTTTCCTATACAATTATATCAAAACTAAAAGTTTAAATTTAAATTAATCATGACTTTTAAAAACATTTTAAAGTCTGATTTAATTTACAAATTAAATTGGTAACTGAATTAAATTATTTAAATTAATTTATGCTTATAAGTAACAATAATTACTTATATTGTATTCAAATCCAAGCCGAACTAAACAAAAACGCCCAGACGCTTGATAACTTGTTCTTATTGGTCGATTCGGAATCTGTTGTAAATTATTATTAAAGGTCCCAGGGGAGGCCGCATGTGAAATTTATGCGAAATTTTCAGTAAATTGCGAAACTTTCAATAAAATTTCTGAAAGTTTCACAGGCAATGTTGAAATTTTCGAATTGAAAATTTCATTTGAAATTTTTAAAAACTTCACTTTTCCAACTAAATGAAATATTTCAAGTTTGAAACTTTCCCAACTTTGAAACTGTCCCAACCCTACGTAAAACAACATAGGACTAATTAGTTTATCAAAATTTGACAGTAAAATTTATTAAATGCTCTATATCTTCTAAACTATACATTTTATAGGATAATGCATAAAACTATTTTTGTAGGAAATTAAATTTCCTACAAAAATATATTTTACCTTTTACCTCTACTTTTAACCGTAAAACAACATAGGACTAATTAGTTTATCAAAATTTGACAGTAAAATTTATTAAATACTTTATATCTTTTAAACTATACATTTTATTGTATTAATGCATGAAACTAATTTTGTAGAAAATTAAATTTCCTATAAAAATATATTTTACCTTTTACCTCTACTTTTTTGCCGTAAAACAACATAAGGACTAATAAGTTTATCAAAATTTGATAGTAAAATTTATTAAATGCTTTTTATATTTTAAAAATGCATTTTATTCTATTAACGCATAAAAATATTAGGACTAATTAGTTTATCCATTAACGTTTAAACACGTGCAATTAATGTTTGTTGCTTTCTGAATGAACTGTTCCAATCTATTTTGGTGGTAGATAAATATTTGGATCAAAGTCATTTGTGTTAATGGCATTTAAACGTGTTTTTTTTAACACATGTTATTGTTGTTTACATTGTGGTTCGTTTAATTTGGAAAATGTGCTTTTATATACTTTCTTTTGTTAATTGGTTGTTTACTTCATTGAATGTTTTGTGCATTATGTTAATTTTTAAATCACCGAACGTGTGGTATTTGAACATAAACAATATATTTTGGTCACATTTTAACACTAAAATAATAAAAATATACATAATTTTTGTGAAAGTAAAAATTTGGACATTTGTAAACACTGTTGGACTGATTAGAAAGTTTAGAATGTTGAGAATTTAACTAGGATGTCAAAAACAAATTTTAATAGAATATAAAATTTAGGAATATCAATAACTTAATTTAGAATGTGAAGAATAAAAAACAAATTAAAGAATGTTTAAAATGTTAAAAACACAATTTAAGACATGGAAATGCCAAAATAAAATTTAGAATGTTGAAAAGACATCATATGGAATATAAAAACCATTTAAACGAATCAAGATTTTCAAAATATCACGAAAAACATTTTAGAATGTTAAAAATTTATTAAAACAATTGAGAATGTCAAACACACAAATTAAAAATGTCTAAAACATGTTTTAAGTATAAAAAAAAAATCAATGTTGATAACACAATTTAGAGAAGAAATCACAGAATATTAAAACCATTTAAACGAATCGAGACATTTAAAAATTTTAACAAACAAACTAAGAATGTCTAGAACCTATTTTATATCAAAAGCACAAACTAATAATGTCTAAAACATGTTTTGGAATGTTAAAAAATGTTATAGAATGTTGAAACACACAATTTAGAATGTTTAAAAGAAATCATATGGAATATAAAAACGATTTAAACAAATTATGATTTTCACAAAAAATTTAAAAAACATTTTTAGTAAGAAAAAACACATTTTAGAATGTTAAAAATATATTAAGACACTTGAGAATGTCTTCAAATATATTATACCAAAAGCACAAACTAAGAATGTCTAAAACATATTTTGGAATGTTAAAAAATGTTTTAGAATGTTGAAACACACAATTTAGAATTTTTAAAAGAAATCATATGGAATATAAAAACGATTTAAACGAATCAAGCTTTTCAAGACATCACAGAAAATCCAAAAAACATTTTTATATGAAAAACCTATTGTAGAATGTTAAAGATATGTTAACACAATTGAGAACGTATTTAACATATTTTATATCAAAAGCACAAACTAAGAATGTCTATAACATATTTTTTAATGTTAACAACAAATTTTAGAATGTTGGAAGCACAATTTAGAATGTTGTAAAGAAATTATAGAATATAAAAACCATTTAAACTAGTTTTTAAAACATCACGGAAAATCAAAAAGCATTTTTAGAAAAAAACACATTTTAGAATGTTAAAAATATATTAACACAATTGAGAATGTCAAAAACACAAACTAAGAATGTCTAAAACATATTTTATAGCAAAAGCACAAACTAATAATGTCTAAAACATATTTTGGAATGTCAAAAAATGTTTTAGAATGTTGAAACACACAATTTAGAATGTTTAAAAGAAATCATAAGGAATATAAAAACGATTTAAACGAATCATGATTTTCAAGACATCACCGAAAATCAAAAAAACATTTTTAGAAAGAAAAATCACATTTTAGAATGTTAAAAATACATTAATTCTGAGAATGTCTTCAAATATATTATATCAAAAGCACAAACTAAGAATGTTTAAATCATATTTTTTTAATATTAAAAACAAGTTTTAGAATGTTAAAAGCACTATTTAGAATGTTAAAAATAAATCATAGAATATAAAAACCATTCAAACTAGTCAGTTTTTAACATCACAGAAAAAAACATTTTTAGAAAAAAAACACATTTTAAAATGTTAAAAATATATGAACACAATTGAGAATGTCAAAAAAACAAACTAAGAATGTCTAGAACATATTTTATATCAAAAGCAAAAACTATGAATGTATTAAAACATATTTTGGAATGTCAAAAACAAGTTTTAGAATGTTAGAAGCACAATTGTGCTTAATTTAGTTATAGAAAATAAAAACGATTTAAACGAACCCAGGTGTTCAAGACATCACAGAGAGACAAAAAACAACACATTTTGGAATGTTTAAATGAAATCAGAATATCAAAAGAATTTAACACAATTTAGAATGTCAAACGCTCAAACATAATTACCTCATTGCGACGTTGCTGCCATCTATGACGATGGGCCTAAGCTGCGAGGCCAGCGCGTCCAGCTCGGCGTGCAGCTCGGTCACGTCGCCCGTACTGTCGGTGGGGCTGCTGTCGCACGAGGTGCCGCCCCCCGCGCCGCCCTTCTGCGCCCCCAGTTTGATCAGTTCTGCGAGCAGCTCGTTCTGCTCAGGCGCGGGGCCCAGCTTCTGAAGGGCGGACTGCACCAAGCGCTCGGTGTAGCCCAGCTTCAACGCGAACTCCACTCTAGCGGTGTATCCGGGGGAGGAGTCCGCCGCCCCCTGGTGGCAGGGCGCGGACTGCACGTAGTCTGCGTATTCCGCCGCCAAGGTGTCGCTGGTGGTTCGCGACACGTCGTGGTGATGGTGGCTGCCGGGTGTGGTGATCGTGGTGGCGGTCTCCACCTCGTAGTCGGAGTCGTAGCACGAGTCTTCGCCGCCCGCGGCACCACCGCCCAACGCGCAACATCCCTCGCCGCAAATGTCGTCTACATATTTCTGGAGAAAAACAATATTATTTTTGTATATATATATTAGGGTGTTAAATTAACAATTATTTTTTTTCAATGGTGTTGAAAAATTAATAGTACATTAAAAAACAAAAATGTTGGCGCCTATTTGAACCCTTTATATTAAAATTAAGGTTTGCCTCAATTCATTTTTTGTTTTTCCGTTTCAATAACACGGGAATTTTTATTTTTTCATTTTGAATTCTTATAACTTTGGAATGGTTTGTTTTCGCAACACCCAAGCGAGAGGATTTATAGACAAATTCACGCTCTACAAAAAACATCTGAAGGTCAAAGTTCTTCAGATCAACCGTTATCAGCGATCAGCGATCAAAAATAACAGTAATAAAAAACTTCAAATATTTTCAAATAAAATACAAAAAATTGGTGCATATGGAAAGTCTCACAGGATGCGACAAAAATTAGACAACAAACTGGTTTATTTTAAAACACCCTGTATATGCCTAAAACTTCGATTTAAATGAAAAGTTCTTTCACAGAGTCATTCCTGAAGATTTAGGCTGCATTTTAAAAAAAAATGTCCAAATCGATTAAGCAGTTTGCGAGAAAATTAACTATGAAATTGTGCTAAATTTTAGTGGTCTGTTAATTTTGATGCGACGTGTATATTGATAATATCAAGAGGCATTTAATGAGGGGTTATCGACTGGACTAAAAGACCCTTCAGGCAAAGGTAAAAGGCTTATTACCACCCATATTGGTTCAGAAACAGAGTTTGTGGAAGGTGGCTTAAATGTATTTGAGTAAAAGTCAACAGGGAATTAACATGAGGATATGAATGGAAATGTTTTTGAGACTTGAATAAAAAATGTTTTGTCTTTGTAAAGTTTTGTTTTTTTTTAATAAAACCTTTATGAATTGCATTTGTATTTTATTTAAGCCTTATTTAAAAAACTAGATTTAATTTTTTAAATAACTTTTTTCAGTGGGGTAAGTAGGGACTTCATGATGAATGAATGTAAAAAAATCCAAATCCAAATTTTTACAATAGCTAAATTTAATTATATGTTAAAATATAAATGTATTAATTAATTTCATTCCATGAATTTCATTAAATATTCCTTAGCAAATAATGAGTAGCAATCGCTTATAACGAACCGTAATAAACCATGAACGATGGTTCGCTTTGTTTGTTATTTTAGAAAAAATAAACAAATTTCAAATACTTAGGACTTTGGTTCGTAGATATTATTCGAGTTGGTTCATTTTAACCGAAAGTTCGCTTTTAAACGAATTATATTATAAAATCATAAAAATTTAATAAAACATTAAAAAAATGAACTGACATAAGGAATGCAGTTAAATAATTGAGGTTATGTTGCTCAAATTAATGTTTATTTCTTCTTATTTTCTGAAAATAATATAATACATGTATTTTTCTGTGTCTAAAGGTCTTAATTAGTAAAGTAAATTATTTTTTCATGATATTGTACATTCAGGGTTGCTTTGATTTGTCCATATTTGTTGTAACATATTAATATTCTATTAACGACAACCGCCATAATAGTTAAATTTGCCGAGTACTCCTGTGTAAACCTGTCTCGTTTTGCAGCGACATCTACTTTATTCTTAAATGGAATGGACTATAGTCAGCTTTTAAAACATCACGGAAAATAAAAAATCATTTTTAGAAAAAAAACACATTTTAGAATGTTAAAAATAAATTAACACAATTGAGAATGTCAAAAACACAAACTAAGAATGTCTAAAACAAATTTTATATCAAAAGCAAAAATGTCTAAAACATATTTTTGAATGTCAAAAACAAGTTTTATAATGTTGGAAACACAATTTAGAATGTTTAAAAGAAATAATAGAATATTAGAATCATTTCAATGAATCAATATTTTCAAGACATCATAGAAAATCAAAAAAACATTTTTAGAAAGAAAAAACACATTTTAGAATGTTAAACATACATATATTCAGACAATTGAGAATATCTTGTGTTCCGCACCATACAGCAACTCAATACTGATGAGCTCCAATAGTCGCTCTATTGATGCTGGTTAGAGATGTAAAAAACGGTTTTTTTTTCAAATCCGCTACAATCGTGGCTACAATAAAGCATATTCAGTCAATTAATAACATCAATCTTAAAAAATGGGGTAATTTTTCAAAATGAAATTTTGAGTAAAATGTACCTATTAATAATAAAGTGAATATATTACATTTTTCATTATTGAAAATTTTGACCGAGACTAAAAAATCTGATTTCTTATTATTTGGTAGTTTCCTCATAAGAAACCAATAGCAATGTAAAATTTCTACACTAATAGAAAAAATTAAAGGATAAAAAAAATTCCAAATTTTTTGCGATTTTTCGGATAGGTGTATCTTCGTTAAAAATGGTCGTATTGGAGCCGTAAAAAAAGCAATTTGAATCTTGAAGTTTGTAGTTTTGGGATATGAAAAACGTGCAACGCTCAATCCTAACGAATACCGTAATAAAAAAAATTGGCTTTCTTTTTTCACGGAATGTTCTGAGTCAGAACTTCTGACTTAACCACCAATGAATAAATGTTCTACAAGAATTTGCTATTGTTTTTTTGAAAAAAAAAATTTCCATACTCTACATGAATTTGAAAAATCATGAAAAAAGTGCTTTTAGTAGCTTTTTGAAAAATCAAGCGCTGAATCAAAAATATTATAGGTAGTTACTTTTTTAGGAACAAATTATTGGTCATTTCGGTGGTGGTGGAGCGTGCATAGCGCGAGACTGTATTTACATTTACTAAATGTCATTTAGTGTCTAATTTTAGTCCATGAACTGGACTGGAAACATAAAAAATTAGGCAAATGGGACTAATCTGAAGAAAAAAAGTATTATCTGAAAAAAAAAACAACAAAAACGGACCGTTTTTTTTCAAGTCGCATCTCTAATGGCCAATTCCCACATAGCGACGCGACGCTACGCTACGCGACGCGACACTTTAAAATGTAGCTGACCAACGCAGTTTTGTCGCTCCAGGAAGCGACAAAATATTGTCGAGTCGCGTTGATCAGCTACATTTTAAAGTGTCGCGTCGCGTAGCGTAGCGTCGCGTCGCTATGTGAGAATTGGGCATAAAGTGTCGCGTCGCGTAGCGTAGCGTCGCTATGTGAGAATTGGCCTTAATGCTGGTAAGGAACACGAACGAAATTAAACAAAAGCGCAGACAAAATTATTGCCAATTAAAATTCGAAATGTTAAAAGCAATCTTACGAATTAAATAAAATACTAATGTCAAAAATTCAGCATAGAATGTTACAAACACGGCAATACATTTAACTTAAACAGAAAAAAAATATTAATTACAAGTCTCAATACATTCGAATCATGAGCTTACGATGTAGGCATATCCTGTATTGGCAATGCAATGCAATAATCTATGGCAAGCCGTTTTAGTTTTTATTACACATGGCTATCAAGTCTCATTTTAATTCGACTTGATTTCTATGAGACATTAGATAATTAAAATTATATGTATTTTCCATAAGGGAAATTACATTTTTATTATAATTTCAAAATTGAATGCATATTTTCTTTACAAATAGTAAAAATAATGCATTTGTTGTATTTATTTCCATTGGTTTTTTAAATATTGTCTTTAACGTGAAAGCAATTTTCGTTAACAGAAATTTTATTAAATTTACTAATTATAATTTTAATGCAAATTATTTTTACTGTTTTAGTTTTTTTGAGCAATTTTATGACACATTAAAAGGATTTTATTTTAATTCAATTTTATTAAAGTAGCTTCTGACTTGGATACAATGTTACATTTTATTTATGTTAGACCAGGCTAAGTATTAAAATAAAACGTATTAAAATTACTATTACGAATATAAATGCATTTGTCCTTAAAGATATAGTTTTATACTTTCCTAAATGACATAAAAATTAAAAACATTTTAATTTGAAATACTCATTGAAATGTTGTCCCGAATAAAATTTAGAGTATAACAATATTTAAAGAACCAGAAAATAACATCGAATTAAAATGAGACTTGATGATCATAATATTTCAAATTAAAATGTTTTTAATTTTTATGTACAAAAAATAGCCCAAATACTTTTATTTTTAACTAAACAAAAATTAACTTCTATTTCCGTTAAGGGAAATTACAATTCCCTTAACGAAAATGTTATTTCCCTTAACGGAAATGATATTTCCCTTAACAGAAATTACATTTTCCTTAAGAGAAATTAGTGGCGTCATCTGTGGTGAAGGTGCCGAACCTTCCACCGCTTACAGAGTTCTGCCAAATTTGGTTGGGATGCCAGAATCTTTCATTTTGTTTGAATGCAACAAATATGACACAATTAACAATAATGAATAATATTAATACTACAGTTTGCTATTTACTACTTCTTTTCGTTTTAATAACCTTTATTAAAAACGTCAAAACACACCTTACACATGCGGCGTTGCCACACAAAAATCTATTCGAATGATGCGATTCCAAAGTCGATCGGTGTCATTGCGATTCGATTCGGAGAGTTTCGTTTTCTCGAGTAGTACCCATAATTATTAATATTACTATTATTATAATTCAATAATATTGTCAATATTGTTCGATAATTTCACTTTTTACATCTGGCAACACTGGTGGGTGATATTTTTTGGGTGGATGTGTAACGGTTGGTCGGTTAAAAAGGTTGGTAAAAAAGGTTAAAAAGGTAACAATCAAAAAAATTGTTTTTACTAATAAATCTTTTGTAAAATTACAGTGCAATAATTTCATTTTATAGAATTATGAAAAATTAACTATTTGAACTTCAGCCTCTCATAGATGGCGCCAATTTCCCTTAACGGAAATGCTATTTCTGTTAAGGGAAATACAATTTCTCTTAACAGAAATGATATTTTCCTTAAGGGAAATTGTATTTATGTTAACGGAAATGCATTTAAATTCTTAATTATAATAAAAACTACTTTCCATTAAAATTACTATTTGTCATAAAAATAATTTATCTCCACGCGG